ATATATAATATAATGAATACAGAATCCTTAAAATCTATTATTATTTAGCTCTCTTTGCATTTATATATACCTTCAAATTATTCCTACTGATTATCAAGTGACATTATATATATATATATATATATATATATATATATATATATATATAAAAAAGTGAACATAGAAGTCAACATAGAGGCGACAGTCTGATTCATGCAGATCACGATTGCATCTAAATGAAACAGACTGCCCTATAAGTTGACTTCTATGCCATATATATATATATATATATATATATATATATATATATATATATTTAAATATAAAAGCAAACAATTTTATATTATATTTACATACACTCTATCTCTGATATTGAGTACTTTATCCCACACATTAAAACTATATTTCTCCATATATATATATATATATATATATATATATATCTCAAATGACAGTCATAGTTGTGAACCTAATTAGTTCTTACGCATTTAATGCCTCTAGAAATAATTTATGTAAAATATGTAAATAACCTTTTTTCATTTAGATTGTATGTATTTAATACACCTGGTGATAATGCAGGTGCAATATATAAATAATATGTACAAGCGGTTCAAAAATATTTAACCCTTCTTTAAGTAATCTATACACAATACAATGACAAATATATATATATATATATATATATATATATATATATATAGAGAGAGAGAGAGAGAGATAGATAGAGAGAGAGAGAGAGAGAATATTAGTGATTAATACACACTAAATGTAGTTGATTTTACTTTTCTCATATTTTCTTGATTGTACAACGGTTCTTTTATGAATGCCCTTCGGTTTTAGTTTGCCCCCCCCATCACCCCCCTTTTTTTCTTTTCTTTTCTTCTCTCTCTCTCTCTCTCTCTCTCATCTTCTGATTTTTAAATTTAGATCATATCGTCTTTTATTGTGCGATTGCATCTAGCATGAAACAGACTGTCGCCTCTAAGTGTTGACTTCTATGTTCACTTTTATATTTACACACGCTCTATCTCTGATATTGAGCACTTTATCCCATAAATATAGCACACCTTAAGACTATATTACTTCATATATATATAGATAGATAGATAGATAGATAGATAGATAGATATTCAATGTATCGATTATTAACAGATTCAACTTTATTTGGATTTATTCTTGAAATAATATAAGTTTGAAGTCAGTCTGTAAATCAAAAACCTGCGGTAGTTAGATTATATCTGTACATTTCTCATATCGATCTTTTTTTTATAATTTTTTATGCTCACAAATTGATAAAAGATATTTATCTAGTTTTTGGTGTCAGTACTTCAGATCAAACCCCAGCGTTGGCACCGATTGCAACGCTGATTTTCTAAATAAAGTAAAAAAAAAAATCTACCTGACCTGCCATAGACGTGAGAGGAAACATAGATCATGTTTTAGAGATATATACATATAAGCCGACGATCGGTGTTCGATCACAGAATTACCTGGATATCCAATACAAATTCTCAACACTGACTGGTACATTTTCAGGTGAGACTAAACCTTATAAATATCTAAATTAACGTTTCAAAAGATTGTAAACCATATAGTTATTCTTGTTGAGGAAAAGAATTACGAAGACTTCACTGGTACATGTAAGGATTTTTGGTAAAGGCCAGAAGGATGCGGACGGTTTTTCACCTGTAGCGTATTCTCCAGATATCTCCTAGACCTTCTGTATATTACCTGTATTTTTTATAGTGAGGTTTACCCTGTACAACGTTCGGAGTTCATTTGTTTAGAGTATTACATTGAAGTAGTTTATACAGGTAGGAAGAAAACGTATCGGTTAAACCTAAACTTGAACAGGTTAAGATTGTAATGATCAGAGTCGGTTCCACAGGGTAGTCGTTTGCGGGAAGAAGCTGTTCGCTTGGAACTTACTTTTCACCGAGGGAATACGGGGGAATGTGAGTGCTATGGCGGGTCCTAATCGTGAAGGTTAGACGTGGTGGTATCAAGGGATGTAGTTCGTTCGAGAATTTTCCATGGAACTTACGATAGAGCAATGCGAGACTTGACACATCTCGCGTGTGAGACGACTCGGAGACGCTTTTGAACTCGAGATGGAAAAATGAATACCCGCTGAAATATAAGTCCTCCATTTTAGACCTGATCTGGCTCTTTGTAAACGTAAAGGATAGCACGGGGAGTCAGCTACTTACTGGCGGGTCCTAATCGTGAAGGTTAGACGTGGTGGTATCAAGGGAAGTAGTTCGTTCGAGAATTTTCCATGGAACTTACGATAGAGCAATGCGAGACTTGACATATCTCGCGTGTGAGACGACTCGGAACGCTTTTTGAACTCGAGATGGAAAAATGAATACCCGCTGAAATATAAGTTCTCCATTTTAGACCTGATCTGGCTCTTGTAAACGTAAAGGATAGCACGGGGAGTCAGCTACTTACTGGCGGGTCCAATCGTGAAGGTTAGACGTGGTGGTATCAAGGGATGTAGTTCGTTCGAGAATTTTCCATGGAACTTACTACGATAGAGCAATGCGAGACTTGACACGTCTCGCGTGTGAGACGACTCGAGACGCTTTTGAACTCGAGATGGAAAAAATGAATACCCACTGAAATATAAGTCCTCCATTTTAGACCTGATCTGGCTCTTGTAAACGTAAAGGATAGCACGAGGAGTCAGCTACTTACTGGCGGGTCCTAATCGTGAAGGTTAGACGTGGTGGTATCAAGGGAAGTAGTTCGTTCGAGAATTTTCCATGGAACTTACGATAGAGCAATGCGAGACTTGACACATCTCGCGTGTGAGACGACTCGGAGACGCTTTTGAACTCGAGATGGAAAAATGAATACCCGCTGAAATATAAGTCCTCCATTTTAGACCTGATCTGGCTCTTGTAAACGTAAAGGATAGCACGGGGAGTCAGTTACTTACTGGCGGGTCCTAATCGTGAAGGTTAGACGTGGTGGTATCAAGGGATGTAGTTCGTTCGAGAATTTTCCATGGAACTTACGATAGAGCAATGCGAGACTTGACACATCTCGCGTGTGAGACGACTCGGAGACGCTTTTGAACTCGAGATGGAAAAATGAATACCCACTGAAATATAAGTCCTCCATTTTAGACCTGATCTGGCTCTTGTAAACGTAAAGGATAGCACGGGGAGTCATCTACTTACTGGCGGGTCCTAATCGTGAAGGTTAGACGTGGTGGTATCAAGGGAAGTAGTTCGTTCGAGAATTTTCCATGGAACTTATGATAGAGCAATGCGAGACTTGACACATCTCGCGTGTGAGAGGACTCGGAGACGCTTTTGAACTCGAGATGGAAAAATGAATACCCGCTGAAATATAAGTTCTCCATTTTGGACCTGATCTGGCTCTTGTAAACATAAAGGATAGCACAGGGGAGTCAGCTACTTACTGGCAGGTCCCTAATCGTGAAGGTTAGACGTGGTGGTATCAAGGGAAGTAGTTCGTTCGAGAATTTTCCATGGAACTTACGATAGAGCAATGCGAGACTTGACACGTCTCGCGTGTGAGACGACTCGGAGACGCTTTTGAACTCGAGATGGAAAAATGAATACCCGCTGAAATATAAGTCCTCCATTTTAGACCTGATCTGGCTCTTGTAAACGTAAAGGATAGCACGGGGGTCAGTTACTTACTGGCGGGTCCTAATCGTGAAGGTTAGACGTGGTGGTATCAAGGGAAGTAGTTCGTTCGAGAATTTTCCATGGAACTTATGATAGAGCAATGCGAGACTTGACACATCTCGCGTGAGACGACTCGGAGGACGCTTTTGAACTCGAGATGGAAAAATGAATACCCGCTGAAATATAAGTCCTCCATTTTAGACCTGATCTGGCTCTTGTAAACGTAAAGGATAGCACGGGGAGTCAGCTACTTACTGGCGGGTCCTAATCGTGAAGGTTAGACGTGGTGGTATCAAGGGATGTAGTTCGTTCGAGAATTTTCCATGGAACTTACGATAGAGCAATGCGAGACTTGACACATCTCGCGTGTGAGACGACTCGGAGACGCTTTTGAACTCGAGATGGAAAAATGAATACCCGCTGAAATATAAGTCCTCCATTTTAGACCTGATCTGGCTCTTGTAAACGTAAAAGGATAGCACGGGGGAGTCAGTTACTTACTGGCGGGTCCTAATCGTGAAGGTTAGACGTGGTGGTATCAAGGGAAGTAGTTCGTTCGAGAATTTTCCATGGAACTTACGATAGAGCAATGCGAGACTTGACATCTCGCGTGTGAGACGACTCAGAACGCTTTTGAACTCGAGATGGAAAAATGAATACCCGCTGAAATATAAGTCCTCCATTTTAGACCTGATCTGGCTCTTGTAAACGTAAAGGATAGCACGAGGAGTCAGCTACTTATTGGAGCTGTACAGGGAGCTGGCTATTTTTTCCTGCGTCTTTTGCGATTTGGGGTTTGTATGAGTTCCATTTGAGTTCGGTTGTGAGTTTAGTCTCTCAAGACACGGGACCTCACCGAGGGGACGTCTGTTTATCCTGAGGGGTGGGGGGTCTCTGTCATGGTGGTGAAAAACAAATCAACCAATCACCAGATTTATATTCTCTTTTATTTAAGTGTATTTTATGTTCTTTTAGTGGATGTGCGGGTGGTGTAATGGTTAGAGTTTCGGGACGAGAAAATGTCGAGACAGTTTCGAATTCCGAACGAGAATCACAACTGCACTCGGGAAATGAGCTTAAGTGCACACACCGTTGAAACACGTGTTCCCGTACGATAACCGAAGTTAAGCAACGTCTAACCTGGTCACTACCTGCATGAGTGACCGCTCGGGAATAACAGATGCAGTAAGCTTGGATGTGCGTCTCTTGTAATAAATAACGGCTCGGAATTGTTAACCAGAGAATCGAGTTATATATATATATATATATATATATATATATATATATATATATATATATATCTGTTTGATATATTAACATACGCGCAAATACCCTTGTCAAATCTATGAAGCGATGTTTTCTCCTCCACGTATGAGTTAATTAGTAAGACATATATCGCTAAACTGTAATTACCTTCAAAAACAAGATAAACACTAACAATATAAAAAATATTTTCTGGCTTCAAATAATCTCTAAAGGGTTGATAAGCCATTAAAAAAAGAAATCAATCAACTCCGGAAAGGTAAGAATATATTTTTACATTGCGTCTAGCATGAAACAGCCTGTCGCCTCTGAATGTTGAATTCAATGTTCACTTTTATATTTATATTAACATAGGCTCTATCTCTGATATTGAGCACTTTATCCCATAAATATAGCACACCTTAAAACTATATTTCTTCATGTATGTATATATCTATATATATATATATATATATATATATATATATATATATATATATATATATATATATATATATATATAATGTCATGATAATTAGTAGGGATAATTCCAAGGAGGACATAAATCCAAAGAGATCAATAATAATAGATTTTTAAGGATTCAGTATTCATTATATATATATATATATATATATATATATATGAAATGGACAAAGTCCGACAATTATTTTAAGGCATTTTATGTTTATATATTCTTTTTATAGATACAAATAATTAAGTAAATGCTCTGTTTATAATAAACAGTATATTAAACTACATTTCAGGCCATAAATTTTGTATCTATAAAAAGAATGTATAAACATAAAATTTCTAAATATATACACATATATATATATATATATATATATATATATATATATATATATATATATGTATGTATGTATGTATGTATGTATGTGTGTGCGTGTGTGTGTATTCCTTCATTCATTTGTCTAAGTTTATTCATATAAAAATCTCTCGCTAAATAGGTGCCAATTTCAATAACTTCCGATTTAACTATCTCACTTTTTATCTATTATTTCGTTTAAAATTAATTAAATGACTGATTTTGTTTTGGGATATCAGTGACGAAAATCGTATATTGAAAGTCTATTAATCCAGTACGTGCCTTTTTAATGATTATATAATCTATATTCCCAGCTTTTAAATCGAATAATTTTGTATTATTTCTTTTCTTCCGTATTATTTTTTTTTTTTCTATTTAATGAATGTTTTTAATTGTTCAATCATTTTCTTTGCATTTTCCATTTAATACTTGAACAAACAAGAATTTGCGTCAAGCTTCATTTTCGCTTACCGGCTAAAGTGCTGTCCATTTTGCAATGCTTATTCGCTTCATTAAATCCTGAAATCATTACGCTTTGTTAATTTAATACCATTTCTCTGCGCATGCGCGACAGCTCTTCTTTCGCGCCTCTTCTGCTCTCTCTCTCTCTCTCTCGCTTTGTCTTCCGGCTTTGCTTTCAAATCTAACTACACCGGCAGAAGCAGAAGTAAAAATAGAAGATGAAAAAGAAGATTAAAATTTGATGAATAAAACAATTGTAATTATTTAAAAAAAAGAAAGAAAGAAAGAACAAAAAAGCGAAGATGAAAATTTAAAAAAAAAAAAAAGTATGTTATTATTAACGTCGTTGCTTCAAACTGCTTTTGCTACTTTAGTGCTTACTCTTCCTATCTATTTTCTCAGGGTATCTTTGAAGAACTGGAACAGAGAAAATCACACAGGTTCGCCGCTCTTCATGTGGGTATTAAAACTAAAAATATGTCTCTTGATGCGCTGATCTGATTCTGTTTGTCTATGCTTAATCGTATATTGACTTTGTGCCATTTCGTCTTCATTTATTCTTTGTCTTGTGTAAAAAAAAAACAAAAAACAAACAAAAAAACAATCTTTATTTTCTCGATTTTGTGGCAGTTATTTATTTACGTATGCAATCATTTCGATGTTTAAACTAGCTAGATGTGTGTCTTCTATGTATATGGCAAGCTCATTGTTTCTGTTCAAATCTGTTTTGGTTTATTTGTTTTTTATTTCAGAGTGTTTATATCTATCTATGGCGATCTATGGATATATAATGTCGCTGAGTGTCGTGATTTTATTATATTTCATTCACGCTCTCTCTCTCTCTCTCTCTCTCTATCTATCTATCTATCTATCTATCTGCAACTCATTTAAGTCTCTGCATATATATATATATATATATATATATATATATATATATATATATATATATATATATATATCAGTTTTATCTAATTTATTCACGCTCTAACTATGTCTCCCTCTTTCTTTGTACTCCATTTATGTATCCATAAGCAGACACACGCACACACACACACACACACGCGCGCGCGCGCGCACACGCACATATGTATGTATTATAAATTTACTTATTTAAAAATATGGTTCCATCGCTACACAGGAATTACCATGTTTTGAAAACAGAAACTAAAAATTTTAAAATTATTAAATAATTAATAAGAACAGCGGATTATATATCTTATTGTTCTTTCACTTTATTATTATTATTATTATTATTATTATTTTATACATACATACATATATATATATTTTATATATATATATATATATATATATATATATATATATATATATATATATATAATTTAATACACCATTTATTTTTTGTTCGATTACATTTTATTGAGGTCTATCTATCTACCTATCTATCTGTCTAACTATCTATCTATCTATCTATCTATATATATATATATATATATATGTGTGTGTGTGTGTGTGTGTGTGTGTGTGTGTGTGTGTGTATAATTCAGTTAATTTTTGCGGTTTAATGTTATTTAATTCTAAACTAATTACCCCTCTCTTTCTCTCTCATTCGCTATCTCTCAATCTATCTAAATCAGTGTTATCCATATAGCTCTCTCCATTTCCCATCTCCCTCAATCTCTCTCTCTCCCTCTCTCTCCCTCTCTCTCTAAATGTATATGTGTGTGTGTGTGTATTATAACATATATTTATTATGTATTATATTTTGGCATTTTACATCACTGAATTTATTGTTTTATTTAATTAATATCTACCTACCCTAACTACATATATATATATATATATATATATATATATATATATATATATAACAGTGTATAATAAATAAATATTTCTCTACTTTTGTATTGAGTCCTGTTTTAAATTAATATTTTGAACGCTGAAATTTTAGTCTTCGTTCTTTTCGTGCACCGTTTCATTAGAACATGTACATGCCCACTACCAAACGGTATATCTTGTTTCAACGTTAAAAATTAACGTTTCTTCAGGTGGGAAACTATGATGGTACTAAAATATCTTTTATTCCGAAATAGAGTTAACGAAGCACAACTCCAACTTCAGTCTTTGTAAAATCTCTTCATAAAAGCTAAAAAGGATTTAAATATGGAGAAAGAAGGAAAGTTATGTGATTAATAAAAGCGAAAGAGACAAGGGGAAGTGGAAGAAAAAGAAAAATGACCAAGAAAAGGAAATAAATGTTGAGACGAGTATTCAACATTCACCTTTTTGTAAGGAGAAGAAAGTTGACGAGATAATAAGAATATCATACTTATTATAAAACCCAGGCTGTGTGTGTGTGTGTGTGTGTGTGTGTGTGTGTGTGTGTGTGTGTGTGTGTGTGTGTGTACGTTTATATATTGGATCAGTTTCCTACATTTTCAACCGATTTCAACAAAACTTCACAGGACTACGTAAAATTACCTTGCGGTGGTTCTGACAGCACCAAAAATTGGAAAAACACAATTGTTTTTGCACGAAATCAATTTGAAAACACGATTAAGAGGCATCGCAAGAATGAATGAGGGACAACTCATATCGAGTTATACTTATTATAAAACCCAGGTTGTTTGTGTGTGTGTGTGTGTGTGTGTGTGTGTGTGTGTGTGTGTGTGTGTGTGTTCATTTCTATATGGGATTTCTATATGGGATCGGAAAACTTCACTTTTTTTTTTTTAGCAGGTAGTGTTTCTTATTGTCTTGCACACTTTTTTCTTTATTTATACATTCAGAATGCTTTAATCATTCTATTTACAAGACAATTGTTTATAATAAAATTCTATTCAATCGGTAGACTCATAACGATTGAAAACAATGTTTTTGTTTGAGTTTGGGTTTGACCAATTCGTAAAAAAAAAAAAAAAAAAAAACTAATTAAGACATGCGTGTTCATCAACCTTAAACAATAATCTTTGTCAATTTTATTTTTCAGTCTTTATGATGGTTGATACTTGATCTATCTCTTACTGTTACATCCCCGGGCAACGCCGGGTGCTACTGCTAGTAAGAGATAAGAAGATGTTTACAGGATATAAGTCAAGGCATTTCAGTTTAAGACAAAAAAAGAGGAGGAAGGGGAGAGAAACAAAGAAGCAACAATTTCAACCAATGAAATTCCGTCGAATCTGAGCAGTCAAATTTAAACTGTAACGTAGCGAGTTACATTAATGTTTTTATAACAAATATTTTCTATGTTCAAAGAAAATTATTCATGGAATGTAAAGGAGTAATACAATGTTTAACAAAACAGATTTTACAATATAAATTAGAATACTAAACAAATTTTAAACTTTTATATTGTTTTATTAATTATAATTATACTTAACAAAACAAACTTTACATTATGAATTAGAATACTAAATATATTTTAAACTTTTGTATATATATATATATATATATATATATATATGTGTGTGTGTGTGTGTGTGTGTGTGTGTGTGTGTGTGAAAATATATAGGAAATAGGAAAGAACTGGTTAGGTAAATAATCCAAAGTCCCTTAGTATTTTAGTTATTATTTTTTAAAAATAGTGCTCGATACAAAAGTAGAGCATAAATATAATTATTTATTTAAAAATATGATTCCATCGCGATGTAATCATATTTTTTAAATAATATATATATATAAATCGACTCTCCCCGTCGCGTTCGACGTATGAGGTCAGGCCGATAAGTCCCCAGGAAACCGACATCCCGGATATCGGTTATATATATATATATATATATATATATATATATATATATATATATATATATATATATCGAACGCGACAGGAGAGTCGATTATATATATATATAATTATTTATTTAAAAATATGATTACATCGCGATGGAATCATATTTCTAAATAAATAATTATATATTTAGGCCTATATATTGTTTTTTAAAAATAACAAAATAATAAACAATTTTGGATTATTTACCAACGAGTTCTTTTCCTATTTATATATATTTCACACACACACACACATATGTATATATATATCGTCGTCGATGTCGGCATCCGTCCGCTTCGAGAGACAATGGAGCCTGGGCTGGATATATGGAGAACTAGGGCTGCCCAGACGTCTACTTCCTAATCTCGGCCTTGCTAGCAATACAGTTTGGTACCAGTGCGGCTGCAGGAGTTGCCGGAATGTACCACAGAGTGCCATCCATCTGCCTTAGGGGCTCCACTCCGGGTTAGAATTCAGAGTTGTCCTTCTCCTAGACCAGTTGCCATCCAAGTCTGTCCTCCTATTTACCCTTATGTGGAGGGCGAAGAAGAAGAGGATCCACACCTTTCCCAAGTCAATGTCATGGATTCGACTGGAATTCGAACTCGGCTCTCCGATTCCTCAATATATATATATATATATATATATGTGTGTGTGTGTGTGTGTGTGTGTGTGTGTGTGTGTGTTTGTGTGTGTACGTACGGTAGGCTAAATTCAGTGTCCAAACATATTTTTTAAATGTGCTTAATACAGATTAGAGGTAAATGACATTTATTAACAATTAAAACCAAAACATGTTACGAATCGATACATAAATGCAATCATGTTTCACCACTATAGGTGCTTCTTCCTGGAAATCTCTAACATCCTAGAGGGTGACACATGTTGGAGATTTAGTTTTTTCCCTCTTCTTCCTTCTTCAATAATAACAAAACAAAATGTCCTTAGCAACTGGAAGAATTATTATTAGTTACTTTGTTTTAATAAATTCATTTCGTTTTTCGCCTTGAAAAAGTCCACATTGGACGAAACGCGTCGGCTACCATTACAGTTTTCCTATTGTCTTTTACATTTATAAATATTGTCTTTTTCTACAGGTTAACCCTGAAAAATTTTTCACACACACACACACACACACACACACATATATATATATATATATATATATATATATATATATATATATATATATATATATACCATGTCTTTGTCATATTGAGTATTTGTTTCATTTCATTTTATGGATAACTTTCTATTTATCTGCCTTGCCTAGTTTCCATATATATATTTTACAAATATATAATGTAAAATATGAAATTAAACATTCACCCAAAATTTTCTTCACTCATCTTTGAAGGTATTGAATTTAATTGTTGGGTGATTTTGGAAAGCACACACACACACACACACACACTTCTGTGTCGCGATGAAGACATATTTTCCCATAATCATATAATTAAAGGCAAAATTAGAAGCTACAATCAGTTGCATTGACATCGTGTTGATTCACTGTTCACTGTTATATTTACATACGTGCTCTCCCTGATATTGTGCACTTTACCATAAATATAGCATACATCAAAACACATATATATATATATATATATATAAAAATGAATGTGGTAGAATATGTAGCTCCAATGCAGGCCTCTTTACCTACAACGAGGGGTGGACTTGTAAATATGCAAGAGATTCACAGGAGAATAATTGTCTAGGACGACACAGTAAAACAACTTTCTAAGCAGCTGACCTAGCAATGGAGTCATTGTAGTATTTCCACTTCACGTCAGCCCAAAAAGTTATACTTATCTATCTATCTATCTATCTATCTATCTATCTATCTATCTAGCTAGCTAGCTAGCTAGCTATCTATTTATCTATCTATCAGTTTGTTCGTATCTATCTATCTATCTATCTATCGATCTATTTATTTGTTTTTTTTACATTTATCTATCTACATATTTTTCTGTTTATTTCGTTTTTTTTCATATCTATCTATATGAGTATGTTCATATCTATCTATCTATCTATCTATCTATCTATCTATCTATCTATCTATCTATCTATCTCAGTCTGTCCATATCTATCGAGTTAGCTATCCACCCCTTCCTTCCTCCCTTCCTTCCTCCCTTCCTTCCTTCCTTCCTATCTATCTATCTATCTATCTATCTATCTATCTATCTATCTATCACAGTTTGTTCATTATCTATTTAGCTATCGCCTCTCTCATATATATATATATATATATATATATATATATATATATCTACGTACGTAGCTACCTACCTATTACAGTTTGTTCATTGTCTGTTTATCTATCTATCTATCTATCTATCTATCTATCTATCTATCTATCTATCTATCTATCTATCCCTTCCTTCCTCCCTTGCTTTCTTTCTTTCTTTCTATCTATCTATCTAGCTAGCTAGCTATCTATGTCTTTTCAGATTTCGAATTAGCTATGTATCCTTCTCTCTCTCTCTCTCTCTCTCTCTCTCTATATATATATATATATATATATATATATATATATATATATATATATATATATATAAATGAAGTATCTATCTATGTCAGTTTATTCATATCTAATTATTTATCTATTTAAATGAAGTATCTCTCTATTTATCCCTACCTATCTATTTTGGACACGTGGCCGAGTGGTTAGAACTTTCGCATTCTTACCATAAGACTCCTGTTCGAATCTAACTATGGTCGATTTGTCAGGAAAGAGTCTTCCTGATGTTATCGGACTGAAGGGGTTGGTCCCAGCCTGCGGCACCTTTTGAAACCAAGCCTTGCGAGGGAAATTGGGTAGACGGAACTCTTGGGGGCCGTCGTTAGCTGTGCTAGCACAAAGTCACAAGACATCGTGGCCGAGGCCTTGTTCAAAATGTTGATCACGCTAGATAATACGCTCTGTCTCAGAAACTGTAACTCAACATAGTTGCACTATAAACCACTATGAAATATACACAAATGTGCCTACAATGGCGGCTACCCAATCTCAATAGGAATTGGCTAGCCGCCTTAGTAGATAGGTATCATCGAATACGAGTGGCCAGTTACATACATTTATATATATATATATATATATATATATATATATGATGTATCTATCTATCTATCTCAGCTTATTCACCCTATCTAACTATCTATTTAAATGAAGTATCTATTTAATCATATAAATATATCATATCTCAGTGGCGATTCTGATAATTTTCCTATTTAATTATCTCTTTTTTCTATTCGTTTAAATATGTTGATATCTATCTATCTGTCGATCTTCCTAACTATCTATCTTATTTTTTTTCATATCGGCCATGTACTTATCTTCCTGTCTCAAACTTTTCATATCGATATCAAGCTCCTCACTGGGCGCCCCGTACTTTCAGCCTTTTATCACATTGAATCTATTCTTAGAAACCATTTGAACGCTTCGACGTGGTCTAATCGTTATCAATCTTGTCTCGCTAGAACAATTACGAATGCGCAGTTTGATCCTCACTGGGTGCTAATCTTAGAAAATTAACATATCTTTTTCAAACTCTATCTAACCCTCGATCTTAATATTTCCCATATTTTTATTTATCGCATATATATATATGCGATATTTAGTTATTTAAGGAAGTTTGATGATATATATATATATATATATATATATATATATATATATATATATATATATATATATATATATATAAGTGGAATCGACAAATCCGACAGGAATCGAACCTGTATCCTATAGCCTGACAGGCTTTTACCGATTGAGCCACAGAGGAGCGTTTGGGTTAGCAATGTCGATCTTACTGTTTTTAAACTACAATTCTCCGTGATTTTCTCTTTCTGTTCGATGCGTATCCAAATGTAAACAAATGACGTCACACATTATGGTGAATATATCACGTTCTCATCTTATCTACCTATCCAGTCTGCTCATATCCGTCTACCAATCTAATTCTATGACGTATTTTATACACGTCCCAAAGTCACGCTTTTCTATCAACATATTAAACTCTTTCTCTTCTGTCTGCTTCCGTCTCTTTTTTGATCAAGTTTAACCCCAAGCAAGACGGTCATGCCACTAAGAATCAAGGGACTACTGGTACTAAAAAAGGATAAAAAGACTTTAGAAGTCACCGGAAACCCAACCCTAAACAGGAAACAAGGGGTATAAAACTCTACTTATTATTCAATAGACCGGAGAGTTGTGTGAACCGCAAACAACTTTAAGGAAATCTATGGCACAAAGTAGCTGTTCTCAGTAAAACTGTTTGAGTGGAACATCTCTTTTACCAATGGGATGCGAGAAAAGTGATGATGATGCTTCTATTCTGTCGACATGGCGTTCCCTATAGGGCAGGTTGATTTTTCGCTTTCTTTAGTAAATCAACATAGCACTGGGGTGAAAGCTGAAGTTCGGTATAATAAGTAATATCACCAAAAAATTAGATTCTTAGCTTTTACCAATTTGTGAGCATTTAGTTTAAAAATTTTGAAAAAATGTACAGAAATATCTACATTCTGCATATTTTTATTTTACTACAAACTGACTTGAAGATTTTATTATATCAAGAATATATCCTGATAAAGTTGTTATATGTTTTATTAGATATATTGAAAGGAAAATATATTCAAATCAGAATTCTAATTATGAATCACCACAAGCAAAATATACAATTTTTTAACTGTATTCGATGATGTGTAAAATTTTTTTAAAGATTATAAAACGTCTATTCAATGAATAAGATTTGTTAGATCATAATTAATAAAAACAACAAAAATAGATAAAAGTGGATATAACACTATAATAATACTGAGCACACTTTATGATACAAAATGGTTTAAATGTCCATTGTTTATTGAAAATCACCCTAAAACTACTGCACTGTATAACATGTCATAAATATGTTTATGATATAACTAAATCGTTCAGTATAATTTCCCTTTTAAGTAAATGAACGTTTTATTTGACCGCACAATGATTTAGTAGTAATGTGCTTGTCCAATGTATATACAAGTTGTAAAACTTCAGTAAATGATAATGGTTATAAGGCTGTGATATAAGGTTTCATTGATCACAGAAATGAATT